ATAAAAGATACGCCTTCTTTCTTTGCGTGAACATTTGGGCGGCGTTATGCAAATCTTCCCACATAGTGAGGTAGACATGTGGGGGCGTGTTAGAACGAGCCGTTTTAGGTAGGAGTGGCTGACTGAACTTTTATAAAGAATATCTCTTTGGATTTGAGACTTTATTCTTTGCAACTTTACAGATCTTCTTTATGCACCAAGAGCTTGTAACACTCCAAAGAGAAAGGAAAAATTGAAATCGCATCATATGACCCCTTTAAGTAAAGATCATGTTCCATGAAGATATTTTGTAAATTTCCTACCGTAAATATATCAAAACTTAATTTTTGTTTAGTAATATGCATTGCTGAGAACTTCATTTGAACAACTTTAAAGATGATTTTCTCAATATTTAGATTTTTTTGCACCCTCAGATTCCAGATTTTCAAATGGTTGTATCTCGGCCAAATATTGTCCTATCCTAACAAGCCATACATCAATGGAAAGCTTATTTATTCGGCTTTCAGATGATGTATACATCTCAATTTCGAAAAATTGAGCCTTATGACTGGTTTGTGGTCCACAGTCATAATTCTTAATATTAACTTGCTGCTTATTAGCTTGCATATTACTAGCAAATTGGCTGTTTATTAGTACTTATGAAGCACATATTAGTGCTTTATTCTGCATGAGCATATTCTACATCTCTTAATCCTACCCAGTATTTAAGCTTAACAGCTACCTTACTAACCTTATTAATAAGCAGCAAATTAGGAGTTTATTGAGGCAAATGTCACAGTTAATAGTGAGAACTGGTCCTTAAAATAAAGGGTGACCTGTTTTATGTGTTTATTGGCTTAACTATGTTATCAAACAGCTAATAATGTGTTGCTAATGTTACACAAACCATATTCCAGCGATATGCTATTGATATGAAGAGTGGATTGGTTAAATGTGTGTGACAGTAGCAAACGGCTTAAGGAGAAAATGCTCAGCAGTGAAAATTAGGTTGATGAGTTTGCACATTGTTTGTCTTTAAGCACGAAAGAGACATGTAAACCACGTTGAAAGCTTGATTTTCATCTCAGGGGGTCTTTAGCATCAGTCTGGAGGGGTTAAATGTTAGACTCCAGTCCATTCAAACGGAGGACTAAAGCAGATCCAGCTGGATGGTGTTTCTGTGTCTTTCAGGCTCTGATGGAGTTCTTCCAAAGAGTGACTGACCATAAGGACAGGAATAAGATGACGCTGAACAATGTTGCAGTGGTGATGGCGCCCAACATCTTCATGTGTAAGGGCTTCCGCAGTAAGATCAGTGAACAGCAGGAGTTCGCTATGGCCACTGGCACCGCTAACATCGTCAGGCTGCTCGTCCGCTACCAGAACCTCCTCTGGACGGTACGAGTCCTCACCGTTACACCACACCTTAGCTCAATGTTCAGAGAGGTTCCGTGTTTGAGACTCTCTCCGTTCTTAAAGGGGTCATCCGATGCTACATGCACTTTTTACAAGTTGTTTGAACTGAAATGTGTGCTGGCAGTGTGTGTACACAACCACCCTATAATGATAAAAATCCACCCAGTGTTTTT